ATTATATACTATATAATGATTATAATTATATACTATATAATGATTATAATTACATACTATATAATGATTATAATTATATACTATATAATAATTATAATTATATATATTATATATTATAATTATATATATATAATATAATATATATAATAATAATATACAATCTCTACATAGCATAATAATACGAAAAGAATAGTTAACCGATAGTAAGAAACAATTGCATTATCAATGTCCTCCATTACAATCGTCACTGGCAGTGGCCTCAAAATCGTGGCGGTGCTGCAACTTTCGAAATATACATACACACTGTAAATACAGTAGATTTTTATTATTATTTTTTTTTGTACAAAATAAGAAAATCATATAGGATTAAAGTAAATTAACAAACGTAGATATTATTATTAAATATGATTAAATAATTAATAAATATAGACGTTATTAGAATAAATTAATAAATATTTTTATACATTGAAAAAAATTGTGTTTAAATATGTATAGAAATATAATGATGATCAACTGCGTTGCAAAGGAAATTCTCTCTAAAATTCATTAAATTGAAGATCCATCCTGTTTTCTTATTTAGAATCAGCTCGAAGTCGACTGAAGTGATGCATTCTCCACTTTAATCTGGCAATTTGGTGAATTAATGACGATCTGGTTAAGCAACGGGACGTTGCCTAATTAGGTATTACATACCTAAATCATAATTTAGTCACGATTGTTTACGACTTCAATTATCACCAATGTTTGGAATTGTTTTATTTTTATTTTACGTGTTACAACCAAAGGAAACCTCTGTGTTCACGTTCTGCACTTTCGATGGTGTTTTAATTAGTGCACCGACTTCTTTCTGAATTCAATTTCTGTCGGATACACGGTGGAAACAGGGTCAGAGATGCCTCGAACGAGAGCCGAGATCCTGTTGGACATGTACGGAAACGCAGAAGGAGGGATTTCTCGTGCGTACGTGATGTAAGTCCACTATAATTAAGAATTCCACTTAGCCTGGTAAATGAGAAGAGAAATCGGCTACGTGTAAGGGTACGATTGAAAGTGTTCGTGTATCGAAAGCTGGAGAATTCATTACTTGCAAAATGGCATATTTTTCGCAACTATGGATTAGATCGGCAATGCTTTAAATTCTCAATTTAGAATCGAATGGATAAACTTTATGGAAAATGGAATTTTTTTGTTTTATATATACTAACACACGTATATCGTACGAATAATTAACTAAATTTCTCAAGTTTCTGCATGTATACATATTTCAAATTATATTTCTCAACAAAAAAATGCAAAAGAAAGCACTGTTGTAAAAATCTATATTACAACATTCTCCAAAAGTGTCTACGATTTTTCTATTGTTAGGAGTCATTAGTTTGTGCAACGCGTATGTACTGTGTGCATACAGCATGCAAATAAGTGGCGGACAAATGTTCCACGATGAAATTAGACCCTTTGGAACTTTCATCGATATAACAGGTGCTGCGAGCTCCGTACAGGTACGATAATTTTCTGTACGTTCCACGACCGTTCCCCATGTAATTATTAACCAAAGACAAGCGAGCCAAGGAAGTATGCTTTATGAGCCTGTCTTTCGAGCAACTGCCTCTGATTACGGGTACATCGGTCGATCGTTTGCGGTCGTGATTCAAGAGTTCTTGCGTCAATTTCTAGTAAACACCGTCGCTTTTCCGCTATTCTTCGCGTCGATGGATCGTTGATTGAATGTTTATCCGGTTTACGGCTGTTGCAATTAAATTTTGTTACTTTGCTCGACCATCTTCTCTCTCTTTCTTTCTTTTTTCTTTTTCTCGTTTCAGTCGACGTTGCTTCTCGAAATGTGCAAAACTTAACAAAATCGAAGCGATGTGATCTGTGAATAGTTCAGAAAATAGTAAAGTTGCCTTCAAATAAATATCGCGAGGTATTAATTTAAACAGAAATAAATTGGTCGGAAGAGTAAATGACAGTAATTTGATGTACATGTATATATATAACCTTAAAAGATCAATTTCACGTTAATAGGACATTTACAATTTTTAGCCAATTTATTCGCGATGAGTAATAATCTAATTAACGAATACTTAATTTATGTCAATTAAAATAAATACATGTTTTCTTCGACGAATGAGTCCGATCCAGACAAAATATACTTCTGACAGGTTATGTAAACAATTTGTTTTGTTGATAATCCGTTTATTAATATAGATTCATTACGAATGTTCACTCTCATTTAAATGTTTTAGCCTGAAATTGATTAAAAGTTATTCTTTATTGACGAGTTTGTTTATTTTTGCCTAAGCTATTGAAAGAAAGAACGAATACTATTAAACCATTAAAAGGATTGGAGGTTAGGAAATGTTCCGCGTGGAAAAATTAAGCTGCAGTTAAATCCTGTAAAATCCTTTAATCCTGTTAAATCTTCTAATAGTTTACAAGATTGCTTTCGATGATTGCTTTGCTGATAATATCCATGTCTCGGATCACAATATTCACGATCAATGCACTCATGCTCGATATTCACGTTTCCGATGAAACGATAATATGACCAGATCGTCAGATAAAGAAGCCGCTTGCATGTACCGACCGTGTCATTGTCTGAAACTTGTTCGACATAATCCCGTCTCGAATTTAGCGCCAAATTGACGGTTAACTTATACTCTGAATATTTATATATAGTGTTGTTTTCGGTTAAAGTGAAACGTCTTTTCATTCAATACACTTCTTCCCACTTGTAAGAAGATATTTCGAGATTTCTTCTCGTTTGGGGTTTTACTTCGTGTGAAGCGTTGAAGCCACAAAAGGTAAAGTAATATACCGAGTGTTAAAATATTATTAAAATATGGAAAGTTTTTAAATATTCGACTTTGATATTATCAGCTATCGAAACGTAACCGTCTATTTTTGGGTCATTTATCAGAAGTTTTGCAAATTTCTAAATCACTTCGTTAAATTTAAATTGAATTCTAAAAAGGAAAATTGTACGAGATATGAAACTTGAGTGATTTATTAGAATCATTACAAACGTTTAAATTAGGTTAAATTTAAATTAAATTTTAGAAAAGAGGTTATGCGATGTGAATTGGTGTCGATACATTTCAATTGATCGAAATATTATTTTAACGTGCATTTTATTATTAAATCATGTGCCTAAATATGAATTAAATTTCAAAAGAAAGATTGAGTAACGCGAAATTGAACTTCGAGATTTTGAAAATAATATTAATAAAGATTCGGTTTTGATTGTAGCATCTCCTATTTTTAGATTGACAATACTGCTTTGAAATTCTCATTTCATTTGTGAACAAGCATAGTGTTAAATGTTCACGAAAGTTGTTGTTGGAAATTTAGTAAGTTATTGTTGAAATGATGAATTACTTTTCGATTATATTTTTGGTAAAGCTGACATCGACCTTGAAAGCTTGTACCATCTATTATACATTATTTTTTGTTCTCAAGTTATTAAGCTATGTTGTTGAATACGTTGATAGGTTCGATGAAAGAACGTTCGTTCCCCCTTTATTGATCATGATGACGAAGGATGGATATGCGATAATTAAATCGCCGCTGGATCAGGAAAATAAACTGGGCCCGGCCATTGCGCAGGTTGGTTGATTTATACCCGATCGAAAGAAATATTAAACTTCAACCAGCGATTTCGCGGTAAATGGAATTTCTTTTTAAATTGTTTTGTATGATTATTACTTTTGTTATACGTATGTTATTATTGTGATTATTATTTTTACTCTATATTATATTATTTTTTGGCATGGTTATACTCATTCCTTTTTATTTATAACAAAATACAAATTAAACAATAATCAGATCACAAGAAATGATGATGTAGCAAAAATATTTGATTATGATGATATAATACTCTCTTGTCAGTATTATATGTGTTGTATGAAACATAATATAATGTATATAATATATATTCATTTATTGAATATATCTATTGAAATTTTATTAGGATTATAATAAAAATAAATATAATAACTAGAAAATATTTAATGTAAATGTGTTTATAAATAGAAATGTTATTTAGAAATTCAAAGAGTACTATAATCAATTATCTATAGATATTAATATGTTCCATATTCAGTCAATATTTATCATGTTGTGTTTAGCATTTATTCATTTATTACTTTATACTATATTATACTATAATTATAGTATATACTATATAATTATACTATATACTTTACTAATATAGTATATACTATATAATTACAGTTATAATTATACTATATTATACTATATAATTTATTCATTTATTACTTTATACTATATTAGAGATATTTAATCAAAGTAGAAAGAAAAAGAAATTGAATTATTATATGAATTGTCCATTTGTTTGATTTTAATCTGAATTTAATTTAACTTGACATCAATTGTTTCTTGTGGTTATAACTGATACACATAATTTTTCTTACATTTTGATAAATGGCCCAATCAGCATGTTAATGTTTGAACTTAATTTTGCTTAATTGGGAATATAATTAACGTAGCACTATATATTAGTAATCTTGAACTTTTTGTAGAGAAAGTTTTAATCGAAAGTGGTCGGAAGCAGAGAAAGAGGAAAAAAACAAAAGTGTTGCTTCGTTGTTGGCATCTGATAGGATCTGATTTCTCGAATTTCGTTTTTAACGAGATGTGATTGATCGATTGTTACACATCTCAGTTTATGATGTTTCGTATAAATTACGTCCAGGGAATTTAATTATGTGGCGATGTAAAGACTCGAATATTTGAATATTAATCTTGTACAATTTTAGAACGCAATTGTACGCTCGGTAAGCAGATTTTCTTTGACTAGTAGATGTCCACTTAACATAGTCGGCTCGTCGAGAGAAGCCGCGCATCATTAATCAATGTCGTTTCT